TTGGACCATGGTTCACGGTTCCCAGTCGTCTTACAAGGGAAATGACCTCGCCAACTCACTTGCGATGCTGAAACTTAGTTGGGCCAAAGTAAGTACCACCCGAGGAGCGTGCAGGCGAACGCCGTCGGTGCGCCAGATGGCTGAGCAATCATCTCGCCTTCATCCAACAGGAGCAATGCAATTTCAGCGATCACCGATTCAACTGTCGATCACGAAGTCATGGCACCAAAGAGCAACCATCATCGATAAGGGGGCCGTCTTTAAATATCACAGGTATTTAGTAGCATAGCGACTGTACCCTTTAAATACTGCAACTCCCTGTGCGTGAACTGCCCTTATCCAATGTCCACTCTGATGAGGGGTTCGAGTATGAATCCGAAAAGTCAGACGATCTCCTTCTTCCCCAAGTTCGACATTCCCTATCATCATCGCCTCGAGATCCAAACAAGTGAGGTAATCTGGTCATTTTAGTCCTCCAAAACATCAGCAGATGGCGGCTAGCTGTGAACAGGTTGCTTTGCTGCACTGGATGGCAGTAGGCGGTGGTGTGTGCACGGAAGAGACAGATATGCTCGTAAAGTGACCTTTCAGTATCGCGTAAGCCAGTCGGTCCTGGACTTGTCTGCACGCAAGCAATGCATGACTCGCCTCTTGTGAGGAAACTATTGTCACACCATAGCGACATGACAGTCGTGTAGGCCGCTGTGGAAGTTGATCTGCGAGAACTTTATTTAGTGCAAGCCTGAACTGGAGAAAGGCAGTAAACACTTACTGAAGATGACTTCTCGTCATCAGACTTGAAGTGTTAGGCTCCAGGAAGTTACGCACACCGCAAAACCAAGAGACCGTCCTCGATTTAGGAGCCCGGCTCGAACCAATAGACCAACATTCTAGAGCACTTCGACTTCCGCGGATAATTTAGCGTGAATCGTAAAAGTTGAATCTGACTTTTTCATGCGTCATAGATTGTCTTTATGTCTTGAATATAACACCCACTTGTGTTCCATTAATAAAGTAAAACAGTCCAAGGGAATCCTCTTCTATCTTTAAGACCACAGGGGTGTCATTTAAAAATGGTGTAGCTCCCTGAATCGAAAAAGATGATACAGTAGTCGCCGGTTATTAAGCCCACCTCGGGCCCAGACCAAATT